ATGATGATGATGATGACGATGATGAGGATGTTGATTATTATTTTTTAAATGATTATTATTATCATAATTATTTTTATTAGTGGTAGCATTATCAAATATTGTTATTTTTGCTACTCCTATCCTGTCTTCCCCTTGTTCTGCAGGTTCCTACAGCAGCCCCTGAACAGCGACAAAAGTTTCAAGTTCCAGTACAGAGGAGAGGTGGTGATGAAGGGCAAGGCCACTCCCATGAAGTGTTACTTCCTCACAAGGAAAGTGGCCAGTCCTGAGAAGAAGTCCCGGACCTGCGATATCTAATGAATTCTTGAACTTGTGAAAATGATGTAATAGGACGTATAGTTTAGATGCACTTTACTCTCAATAATAAATGAATAAAGATAAAATACATTTTTTAAAATATCCCAGAAGGGCAATTTGGATTACAAGGGGAAACATACACGTACATGATAGACCTACATAAATACTTTATTATAAATAATGCATAAAATCACATACACATATATACATGAAAAAATAAATAAACAATATTACACCAATACGGAAGGATTTCACAATCATGCCATTGCTTGTCGCAACTGTGCAGCGCCCTGTTTTTTTGTTTGTTTTTTTAGCTAGGGTTGTCCTGTCTTGCTCAAGGACTCACTCCAGTGACTACCCATCTGATCCCCGTGATAGGGTAGTACGTAAAGGAGTCCAGGTGTCCCGGACCTGCAATATCTAATGAATTCTTGGACTTTTTGTGCTATAATTTTAAAAATAATTATAATAACATAGTATGACATTTATATAGCGCTCAACCTCGATTAAAGTACTCAGGTTTTGAGTGCTTTACAAGACAACAGTAACATTCTGTACATTGTGTTCTGACCAAAAGAAAATCTCTATCTAAATATCTATTTAATATAAAGCAATTTTTAAAAATGTGTAATATTTTGTAGATAAACGTTATTCTCAATGGGGTATTAAGTAAAGACGCTCAGAAGAAAGGGATCCTTGACTCAAGGTAAGATATTCTAAAAAAGTTTAGACTTTGAGTTGTCGGGACATGGAAGTTAAGATAGGTTACGCGATAAAATACAGATTTAGCGATGTCTAAACAAGAATGAGCTTCCCACGTCCAAACAAACCCTGATCTTGTCCTTTTTGAGGTCTATAACTTATGATATACCAGAGGTCTAGAAAGTGTAACTTTGTAAAAGAAGAGAAAAGTGCGGAAGGCAGGATTACTTTAAACATTATGTAGAAAGTGCAATGTGTATTGGATTATAAGGCCAACCCTTGTGATATCTCCTGAGATCCAGAACATTTGACGCCCTAACTAGACTTGTGATATGTATAATAGATGGTGCGTCCAATAACGAGGGAGCTTACCATATTTATATTTTTATCATCATTATCATCATTATTATTATTATTATTATTATTATTATTATTATTATTATTATTATTATTATTATTGATATTATCATTATCATTATTATTGTTTAT